AATCAAAACTACAAAGCGGAACTCGACAGACCCCAAAAACTATGAGACCCACAATGTTGACTACGATGTTTGGGAATCGTTTGAATAGAAAACATTTCTTTTTACCTAAAAAATTACCTACTTAATTTACCTAGAAAATTATAGTTTCTAAAAGACTCAAATTGTTAAAATCCAAATGGAATGTGCATGGGTTATAGACGCTTTCCTTATAAACGATCTTTATACTCTTCAATTTACTGTGCCCAAAATTTTCTCCCTAGCCAAACCACATCCTTAATTTCGAATAGCAAATACTACTACTCGTTCGCTGAACTCAACTGTATTCAATTTCCCTGCAAAGGGTTAAGGATACGCCAGGATGCCACCCATCGGACTATGCCATGAATTATATTTCGACAACAATGAGTGGCTAACGGTAGCTGTGGCTGTTGCTGGTCCTGGTCCTGGTCCTGGCCAAGCGGATGCGTTGCCAATGGCAATAATGTGGCCTGGACCACTTGAACAGCTGAACACGAGGTGCTTTGTACAAGGAATTTTCAGCTCGAGTTGCTGTTGATTTAATTCAAGAGGCAATGCATTTTCCCAGTCAAGTGTTGCATGTGAAAAATTCTGGGCAATCCGATGCTATTATCCTTCATCTTTTTTTATCGCTTGCCATGGGGCAAGCGCTACTGATGGTGATAGTGGTGGTGGTGGTGGGAGGGTAGAGGAGCATCGTAATTGCTGGGTTGTTGGGTGAAAGGCGTTGTAACATAATTTCCGTACAAAATACATCAAAATGGACCATCCAATTGAAATCTCCATTTTCATATGTTTCCATAGCAGTCTAAACGATGAGTGACCCATACACACACACACACACACACACATAGATGTGCAGCCATGTTGCTGTGGTTAGTTAGCATCTGTGTTTGTATTTGTATTTGCATTTTGCATTTTCTGCCACCCACACACATAGTTATATATGTATATGTATAAAGCGGGAGACATAGAGTGGGGACAAGCGCATAACAGTGGCGTACACATGTCCATGTCCGTCACATTTGTCGGACGCCCATGTATTAGTGTTTACCTCTGCTCCACAAACACCCTATCCCAATGCTTGCGCTCCATCCTGATGATTTTTATAGGCGGTAGATGCTTCCAACATACCTCCTGAAAGGAGGTATTCTTAATCACCCTCAATAATCGAGGCACCTTCTGGAATGGTGAAATCATTCCCGATTATATGCACACTCTCGGGGAGCAATGGGTATCCTTAAAGCCCGTAGATTATACCTATGCGCTTTGTTACCAGCTTTTTCTGTCGATTTGGCCCGGCACATTTGTGTTTGTTCAGCTACTTTTGCGGTCTGCCGCTTTTCGCGTACATTTCAACCACATTTGTAGTCACTCCGGTTTCAGTTCGCGCATTGGACAAGCGCCAAAAACCCAAAAGAACCAAAAACAAAATAAAAAGCCAGGAACCAAACAAAAAATAGCTCAAGTGCTTGAATGGCGACAGGGCAGTGGATGGGCTCTTCTAACTCAAGCTCAAACTACGAGCATTTATGGTTCCGCATTCGTCACACACTACTATTGAAACCAGATATTTATCGATGCTTTATCGCTCTCTAATCGCTAATTTATGGTCTCTAATGGGAGCATCAGACTATTTCGATTGGCACACTGCAGTTAATGCGACATCATTCCGAAATATTTTACAACCTTTTTGGAATTTGAACAGCAACGTTTTTCAATGGCCAGCCAGGATTTGCATTTGTTTGATGATCGAGTGCATTAGGAGTGCCGTCAAATTGATGCGAATTACCATACAAATCTATAATTTCCAACGAAATTAGTGCACACAAATTTTTATCGCAATTCAATGGGATGTTCGGGACAAATTTTTCTGTGCTCTTGACTGCATGGGGCGTATGCGCAATTTGATGTTCTCGAAATTCAATTAAATTTGGCAAATTAAAGCGAAACTGGAAATACTGAAGTGAAATTTAATTGCATGGGGCAACACCAGAGCGTCACTCGGCACTCCCTGTCCTCGGCGTGTCTCTCTCTGGGGAGGGTCAGGGCGAAATGCAGCACGTATTTATTAGCTGACGTGCATTTGACGAAGGTCGAACGAACGCGTTCCACAATGAGGTTGTGCTGGAGGATAGGGGAGGGAGGATACGAAGGCTCCCGGAGGTCGCTGATTGACTCACGATTATGCAATAAAACAGCAGACGACAAGCAGGACAACACTCAAATCCCCACAGAGACAATGGCAAACAGACCAAGATTCTATCTCTCGCCCTCTCTGGCTACATCTACCATTCTGACTCTCTCCTTCGGCCTGGCTATATCTCTCTTTCCCTGCGAAGGTTTCATTGGCTTCATTTCGGCACCAGCTTTTGAAAAGCTAAAACTTTTTTATGTCCAACTCATTAAAAATGTGCGCCAATGGACTTTATGCAGGCCCGACCCAAAACCAGGGCCAGAGGGATCCTTCATTCAACTTCCAACAAAAACGAGGGTCTAGCTTGTTTTTTGTTTTTTTTTGGGTGTTTTCTCTGGGATTTTTCGCCTTTTGCCTCCAGATTTCATGAATGAGAACGGGGGCCAAGCCAACTTGAATCCAACAGCCAAATGCAATTTCCAAGTTTTTAATGTGCGAAATTTCTAATTTAAGATTTACGATATTTTTATGTCGAATTACATTTCCCGGTTCCTGCTGTTCCTGTAACTGCCCCCCTTCCCTGCCCTCCTGCCACCCTGCTCGTCCTGTTTTTGATGTTCGCTCATTTTCAAGCCCTGGTGTTTGGCTGCGAATATTCCTTTGGCCATTAGCTTTTGGCCGCCTGCTGTTGGCCCGAATTTTTTAATGGATCGACTCTTTAATTGTGGAGCCCCGATGCGTAATGCCCTGGCCCTGGTACTCGAGCTCTGAGCTGCAGGGCCTCGTCTCCTCGATGGGTGGGGGGCGGGCTCTTAATTATAGACACGCCCAAAGGTCAATGGTCGCCTTTTGATGCAAATTTTATGGACTGGAACTTAATTGGCCCGGACCATTGGGTCCGGTTCATCTCATATCCTGGCCAAGCGCTGGCAAAAATAAAATAAAATACACCAAAAAATATATCTGCCGCCGGCAAATAAAATACTCTGTTCAAATTGTTTTGCCACTGACCAAACAACAACAATTTGTAACGGACAGATTTAATGGGGCTATTGCTGGATCTGATGGGTGGAGGGGCGGATGGGTTGTGGGTGCAGTGGGGATCTGCTTCCTTTTTGGTGGGGTGCCTCTGTAAATGCATATCCGATTGCAGCTGCAGTTTTGTTAGTTAGGGCAATAAATTGTTGTGTGTGTGTGTGGGGGGGGGGGGGGGGAGGGAGAGGGGGAAAAAGCGATTCTGGGTTTGGGGCTTTTTTAGGGAGAATTTGTCAGATTCAGAGATTGCATAAAATAAATTGGCCAACGATTGATTTGGGGGATTTGCCATACAATTTATTACCGCCGCGATAAAGGCATTCGAGTGTCAACACCAAAATGGCAACATTCCACGCGGCATGCAGCATGCGGCATGCGACATGCGTAAGGTCAAATATTTTTCCGGGACATGCCACATAATCCTTTCGCTTAAGGTCACATTTTACAGCACATTAGGCCACATCAAAATCTTCCGCAATTTAAACCGCTTAAGTGAAAAGCGACGACGAACGAGCAGAACACGTGCTCCGGGCCGGACACAGAGCAGTCCTTCCGTCCCTGCGATCTCCCCCATGGCACTAGATTCCAGGGTTTTCCCCCGAAAAAGAAAACCACAAAAACCGTATCTCAATTGCAATCACTCAAAACAACGGAAATGACGCTTAGCACAACTTCCTGTCGCTCCAAAAGGACAGACAGACGAACGGACAGAGGACGAACAGGACGAACAGCTACGGGACGACGCGCAGCTGAAACGTGGCCATGAGCAGGAGCTGGTAAAACCTACCTCCCCCCTCCCCCCTGTTCAGAATTGTAATTCATGTCGCTGGGGGTTTTCTTTTTTGGCATATTTGTCAACTCTGTTTCCACTGCACACATGATGAGGGACAGGGGCAGGTCGAGGGGCCGGGAGAGTGGAAGTGGGTGGCTGCCACGCCTACCACCATCACCACCGACTGGCTGGCACATTCAAGTGCAATTTCCTTGTAATGCGAAACTATGTCATTTTGGCACGGACGCGAGCCGAAGAGCAGCACCACTCCCGGACTAGGACAGCCGCAGAGTCCATCCACAATCCCGAAACCAGCTACAGGGCCTGGGCCTGGAATAGGACCTTCACCAGAGACACATATCCTGGCAATGAGTGGGCAATAGATAGTTGGTCTCAGCGCGTGCATACAAACATGACACGTTGCCGGCTCTTGTGCCGGGCCATAGATGCCACTCGTGTCCACCTGCTCTCAGCTGTTGGCACATTGCAATCTGAGCCGGAGCAGCAGAGCACCAATTCCTGGCCAGGGCACGGCAATGGGAATGGGTGTTCCGAAAATAGTCATAGACCCATAGACCCAGGGCCATGCGGCAGCAACCAAAGTGGCAACGAGAGTGACAAGCACAGCCAAGCAGACAGGCCAGTCTACAGAGGAGCGGTGAGTGGAGCGGAGGGGAGGGGACGGCAGACACTGGGCTGGGAGCCCTTGTGACAGGCGGCATTTGATAATGTCAAGCCCCAAATCAGCAACAGACACCGACCACGCCGACGAGTCAAATGCCGCTGACCGAACCGAACCGAGCGGAAACCGAATAAAAGCTGAGGCTGGGGCTGGGGCTGGGACGGAAGGAAATTGTACGTTGCGATTTCAGACAGTTCCCTCTTCAGGCTGGAGGCAGAACACCACACACGTGGGGATCTCAAGTATCCGTCTGTCTGAGCCATCATCGGCTCTGGGGCACGACTCTGGAGGAACTTGGTTTGAGCTGGACACGTTTTAATTGGCCCAACATTTGTCTTTCTTTTTTGTCTTTACAGAGCAGTTTCACATTTTTGTGGGCGACTTGAGCGCCGAAATTGAGACACAACAATTGAAAGACGCATTCACCCCATTCGGAGAAATATCGTAAGTAGAAAATTGTAATTAAAATCAAAGGACAATTTTTGATAAGGGTTTAAGCAGAGCCGTGCCAAGGGGGTGCCACGGGTGCACAAATTGGGGTCGGCGAAAAAATATTTCACAATGAATGCAAGAAGAGTAATGTTTTAAATAATCTTTAAGTTATCATTTGATCTTAAGTTAAGTACAACAAAATGGCAACAAACGGCACATTATTTTTTATTATTTTGTTACAACTAAATGTTATTTTATTTCCATCCAAAACATGTTGGATGCTTGTTTCCTTGGCGCGGCCCTGGGTTAAAGTTAAGTAATGAATATCATATATTTGTTCAGCTGAGTTCAGTACTTACTCCTTACATACTCCTTCTGTTTCGCCTTCATTTGTATCTGTGGTAAATGTAAATGACGAATATCACCGAAGTCACAACCGACAAAATCAGTGCTGCTACACGAACTATCAAAACCCAGTTGTACCGGCGTCTTGTTTCATTGGGCCCCTCATTCGTTGGCGGCGGCATAATACAAATCGAATGATAACAAATTTTCACACAGAATATAGAAAATATAGTAACTCTCCAGTTTTTGTTTGACAAGAAAAGAAAAACCGATTACAAAGGATGTAGTATCTTTGGAGTTGATTGGAGTTCAAGCTGCGGCTTGACCAGGCAGGCATCTTCTTTGAGGTACGTTTTGGTCTTCTACAGGGTCAAGAGACCTTTAAGGATGACCTGGTTTGACAGGCACATGTCTGTCCTATCCCTAGTACGCAACTATTTTCAGCTACATTATATTTCGACTGGCACATTAACTTCAATCAAAGAACATTTTGGCACACTTGTGCGGCCCCAAACAGCAAATTGTTAAATAAACAAACAAATGGTAAATAAAGTCCTGCCTCTGATTCGGACTCTGTCTATGCCTCTGGTTCCCATTCCAGCGCCTATCTACGCCTTAATTTATGAATAATTAGCGAGTCGAAGGAAACCGCGAACCCAGCAGCAAAATTATTTCTTTTCTCTTTCCCAAAAGCATGAGTGAATGGACCATTGAAGCCCTGCCGCGGCGGGGGGTAGCGGTGGTCCGGGAGCCCTGAGCAACGGGCAATAAATTAATAATTTAATTTTCGACTTTTTTGTTTGAGCTGAAACAGGGTGTGGGCAGCAGGCGGGACAGCCCAGCTCCAGCAACAGCCAAATGCAATGGGGAGCTGTGGCAAGCCACAAGCAGCTGTCGACGAGCTGTGGGACGAGGCACGATGTCGGGGCAAACAAACGCCCAACGAATGCCCCAAAAAAATATTAGAGCAGAACAAGTGAAAGCAAATAAAACGGATTTGTACGAGTATATATGTATGTACATAAATATATCTGGACATCCATCCAAATGTAGGCCCGGAGCTCAGGTCAGTAGCCAAAAAGACATCCACCCCTCGCTGGAATTGGTAGCTTGTTTCGCAGGCTTTTCATTTGCCACTTTCTTAATTAATGAGCATCAGACTGGCGACTGCCTCTGCCACACGGCAGAGCTAGGGGACCATTTTCCCTTTCCTGCCTTTGCCTTCGCCTGTGATTCGGATTCCGTCTTTTACCTCGGCTTTCCTTCATCCTGACTCTGCCTCTGCCTTCCTCCCTCCCCTCCACCCATGTTGTTTGCTCTCATTTCTTGGAGACTTTCAGCTGGCTCAAAACGTTGAACTCATTTCGCCAGAAACTATTTATTCGAGTGCAGGGGACCAAATGTACATTCAACATTTTTCGAGGGCTTGCCCTTTTGAAGTTCCTCTCTGGATTTTGGGGCGCGTTTTGTCCCCCCGCGGCTCTCCATGGGTAAATAGTGGAATGTTCTGTTCCTTCCGCATGTTTATTTTATGGCCAGAGCGCAAATCTACGAAATAATTACATTTTTCATTTACACCTGAAGTGGCCCCCGCTTCGCTTCGCTTCGGTTATGTCCTGTTCTGTTCTGCTCTACGCTGCTCTGCTCGGTGTTTTGCCTTGGGGCTTAGAGGGAAACGGAGCTTCAAAGATTGCCATTCTGCCACGAAGAGGACACTGCCGTCGATGTTGTCTACGTCGTCGTCGTCTTTTGCCTTTTAATTTATTGCTTCTTATTTTTTGAGTGCCCGCGTGGGAAATAATCGCAAATATGTCGGCGTCGTCGGTGCTTTCTTCCTCTTACCTACTTTTCATCATCAGGTTAACAGCTCTCGTGGGTGAATTTTCATTTAGTCCTGCATAAGGAGCAGAAATTTATACAACAATTTCACCCTACGCCTTGGGCACTGTCTCTTTCTAATTAACCGACTTAACTTTCAAACAAACAACAAAAACTTTGCCATGAAATGTAAGTGGTTTGGTTTTATCTTATGATTTATATAGATATGTTTATATTTATGCAGGTATGTGTATATGCTGAAAGTTTCTGTGGTTTTTCTTTGTTTCATATCGAGGAAAACTCATTAGAAAAGTCGAGCATGAGTGGGGGGGCACGGAACAAAAGGAAATGTAATCCTTCAATTAATTGTATACCTTTGATATTCTCCCGACTCGGCCATAGAAATCATAATCCCCTCAAAATAATTAGGTCCCTTTGAGTTTCCAAATCAATCAACACCCCGCCCCTACAGGGCCGGGCCCTCCTACTAAATCATGCGCCACCTCGTGGCCCCAGGAGCACACTTGTCTGATTTCCCATCAGCGGATCGGATCGCATCGCATGATTCGCCACTCTGCCTCTTATTGCGTTACCCTTTGAGCATTAATGCTCGAGTATAATATACCACATGGTAGTTCTGTTCCATTTAATGGGCTAGCGCCGGCACCACAATCCGATTAGACAATATAATGATGTGGCATTCCATATCCAACTCCTCCTCTGAAGACGGCATTCTTATAATGGCCATAAAACACATCGCCCAAACACACAGAGGCAAAAGCCTATAGCTACAGACCCAGTTCCAGATCCAGCTCCAGCTCCAGCCCTGGCTCTGGTTCTGGCTGTGTGCTTATTTTAATGCAGCTAATTAATTATTTGGCCGGTCAAAGGATCAACATAAAATCCAAGTCAAGGGGCCCCGACACCATTCTCCATGCTATAGGCGTGCCTCCTTGTGCTGCCCAATTAGTTAAATTCGGAGAAACCCATCGATTGCAGCAACACCAGCAAGAAAGACCGAGACATGAAGTGCCTCCTCCTCGTTGATGGCACTCGTACAAAGCGGAAATTCAATTATCCGGCTGCGGTACTCCGGCACAAATTGCGTCCGTTTGTTTGATGCAGTTGCCGCAAAACCAAACCAATAGACTCGCACTCGTACCAATGCCTCTGATTAATTACATGCAATATGCTGGGGCACTCTGAATATCCTTATTCATAAATAAATAAAGCGAAAGATAAAACAAAAGCAGCGCCGGACAATGGGCAATTTGATTGGAAAGGCCACGAGCCATATTCCTATTCCCTACCCCTATCCCTATCGATATACATGGACACGTTCGGCCAATATTCGAGATGATGATTGGTGCGGTTACTCATGATATTGTTGCCATCCTTATCAAATGGATTTATGTGAGTCATGACCCATGGCCCTCGACTCGGTCGGTAATTGGCATCTCTACATTGTGTGTAACAAAAGGATTAACTAGGCCTTTGTAAAAAACTTTGACGCAATATCTGCGCAGGAATGGGTACACATTTTTCCAAATTTTACTCAAACTTGTAAGGCTCTTAGGTGCAAGAACAGAAAAGTCCTTTTGCGAGAAAGCAAATCAAGAAGATAATAGTTGATACTAGTTCGGGACTGCAGGAAGTGAAAATAAACCCTATAGCACCATAGCCTTTCATTTTTTCGGGAGTTACTTTTAATGACACTTGGGAAAGTTTTTGATTTTGGTTTGCTGTCTGCCCTCCTGTCGGCGACATCATTACGTTGATTTTTCTGGCGGATCGGGATGGGGGGCATATAATTTTGTCCCTCGATTTGGGCGATGCCGAAAATGAGCAAAACTTTCAACTTAATCTATTCAGAAAGTTGGCTCAGCTTCTGGTCCTGGGTCCTGGGTCCTGGTACTGCTACTGGTACTGCTACTGGTCCTCTTTACCCTTCTGCCGCGGCCTTTTCATAAACTTCAAAATGCGCTTGTGCACGTCTCCAGTTCGACTTTGACTTCGACTTGGACTTGGAGCAAGTGCAGCAGCGGCAGCAGCAGCGGCAACGGAAACCAATGATCGGCGACAAGTGGGCGCCCGACTCACTGCTGCAACGGAAATGGTGGAAAAAGTTGAGAGAGAAGCTCCAAGTAGGCGTCGGCCTTTGTTGCAAGGCGGCGAATGACAAATCAAAATCGCATTCAAATGCGACGCGGCGTGCAGCGGAAGTTAATGCGAAAAACTTTTGCCCCAAAACGCGGCACAATCAGTAAAGCATCTCTCTCTTCGGCTCCACGCTGCAGTATGGAGGGTGGGGGGCATCCCTGCCTCCTCCTAATCCTCCATCGCCTTTCCTTCTCTTCTTGTGCGTAGTGTGAAAAATGAGTGTTGCCAGGCTTTGGGTTGCAACCGCAAAAGCCTCGACATTTTTTTTTGTTCCGCCTGCGACGATTTATATTTGTGGCAAAGTGTCAAAAGTTGTCCAAGGCGAAAGTTGCGTATCGAAATCATTGCCAGATCGGGGCCAACTGTCGTCTTTAAAGCAGCAACAAAACTCCCAAGCCGAATGCAAATTAAAGCAAATGGAAAATGGAAAATGGTTCATGGTTCTGTAAACTTTATAATATAATTTTAATGGGGGTTGAGTGCAGGAAAGTTTGCACAATCATTAAATTGCTAAACGATTTTCATTTTCAATTTGTACAGACTTTGTATCAATAAGCCACGCACAGGTTTAATGTTTAGATAATAGACAGTGGCCGGGACAGAGGCAGGGCAGCCCTGGGCATAAATTTATTTAATTTACTTTTCTGCTGCGGCAACTTTTTTGGTGCCGCCGACACTTGGGCCACGGC